CTTCTGATCTTCCAGATTCGGGTTTGGACTTTAGTTGGAGTCTCAGTCGGAAAGGATGATGGAGGAATAACCAAAACATTCAAATGGGTTTCCCTTTTCGCTTTAACCGCTGCCCTATGATCAGGTTATTGTTTGAACCAAAAGCTTTGGGTGCGAACCCTAATTGTTCTCCCTGCCAGTACCCGTCCATAAATTTTCTATGAAGATAAAATAAAAATAATTCCATAGTGCATCAGTCGCAGTGCAAGATAAACAGGACCGCGTTGCACATTTCATCGAGCGTGGTGGATAGCGATAAGTAGGCTACTGCACACATCTCAACCTTTGGTTAATTTCAAGTGAGTAATGGAGGATTTGGTTCAATTTCAAAAGTGTATTCGTCGCGTATAAAGCAAATGAAGTGTGAATTGAGAACCTGGGGAGCATTGGACAGCTGTTCCGACCTGGTTGGGTCTCATCATCAGTGCGAATCTATCGACCCAACTGGAGATCGAACCCGAGACCTCATGGGCAAAACGCGATCACGCTACCCAATCGGCCATCGTGGAGCTGATCGGACCCCTTTTTATGTTCCATTTAAACGATATAGCACAACTCATCTTTGCGAGCTTGTTGCGGGCCACAAACCCTGCTCATCTCAGGACTAGCTTCTGGATTATGATTCGGTTGGAAACATTCACAACCTGACTACTTATTTCAAGCGAGAAATGGAGGATTTGGTTCAATTCCAAAGGTGGCCGAGTGGATAGCTTGCGTTCTGCCCATGAGGTCCGGGGTTCGATTCCCAGTTGGGTCGATGGATTCGCGCTGATGATGAGACCCAACCAGGTGGGAACAGCTGTCCAATGCTTCCCAGGTTCTCAGTTCACACTTCATTTGCTCTGGTTAATTTTTAGTCGGTGGGATGGGGCCATCGTTTCACATCGTCTCATCCCTCTCACCCATGACCTCAAACAGTTAAATTCTATCTGACTCTGTTCGCGATTTGCGCATTTTGGAATTACTCAATCGAACATGAAACTGTCTGACCACCGGTTCTTATTGTTTGTGACAACCTTGTTGTCACCTACAATCCTGGCCTGTGATGATGACACTCATGCTGTGCATAGTCGAGGTTCACTGGGTGATTCTAAAGACTCGCAGTTTTGGGCAAGGTGTGGGTTCTCGCTCGGATCAGGTGGGCAAGCATCCTGGCCCTTGTTACAGCTGAACCATCTGACCGTTCGATGAACGAACCGGCACATGAGAATACGTTATAAATCCTGTGCTGCTTGAGTTTTGGCGGATGTTTATAGAACGATGTACAACCTGGGAAATTCGGAATTGGAAACGCTTATGCGATGATGACAATATGCCAACACTTGAAATTATATATATATATATATATATATATATATATATATATATA